CAGGCTTCACAGAGGGGAAGGAACATCAAAGTGAAAAAAAGTCGAGAGGGGGGGGGGACAGAAGAGTGTTTCAAAGATGTAAGAGACAGATACAAAGGTAGAAAAAAGGTAAGGTGAGTACTGTGGAAGTAGTCGGATATGGCATACAGAGGGGGGGGGATGGTAGTTTGAAGTCAATAGTCAACTTCCGGTTTATAGACTTTTTTGCCGTACGAGTATACACTGCTCAGGGTGCACCACATGGAGGTAAGTCTATCGTACACCCCTTCTCAAATCTATTATCATTGTGTTTGGAATTTTTACGCATTCGAAGTTGTTAGATAGTTTCATTCCTAGTGTCTATTTCCTATAATAACTGACTTGATATTTCTAATTTTAATGGTGATACGAGGCAAATAATTCTTGCTTTATTTCCCACTAGGAATGTGCTCTGAAGGCTGGAACAAGTGTTCGAGGTGGTCAAACGACATACAATCCCTGGGTTCTGATTGGTGGAGCAGCTACTGCTGTTGTACCTGACTCCGAATATATTATGTAAGTTCTATTGAATTACATTTTGTAGAATGAATTTTCATATTATTATGGAACTCGATAAAATTTTAGCGTTCGTCATCGGTGTATGTACTTTGATGTACCATTATGGTGCGTGAAACCACCAATTGTACTAAGTAAAGCTTACTTAACGGAGGTGGGCTCAGATCTATGCTGAACAATGGAAGATGCTTAACTACCAAGACCAATTCATGGATTACTAGAATCATTTCTATCGTTACACATCCACTTACGCGAGTGGTCAACAACACTAATTATTTCTGGCCAATCAGAGGGATAGTTAAATGCAAGTTTCTCATTGACCGGCTCCAGGGTATCTTTACTCTGCTTAAGTCAAGTGTTTTGCGCGTATTTTCAATGGGCTTGAAATGCCTGAAGTACCAATATCCAATTAGTAAAGCTACTTCAGTATCTCTACTTACTTAGAGTAAGGGATATTTCATTTCCAAAAAAATATTTTCCATTAGTGTTAACAAGAAATAGTAGCCTTTCTCAATTAAGTTGCCAAGTAAGTAGGTGTTGAGCAAGAAATATATTGGACTCTGCGGTAAGGTAGGTAGAGTATGAAATCGACATCAGTTCGGAGTGAGTGGAAACAGGATTCCGAGTTTTAAGGTAATAGAAGTTGAGTGATTTACGTAACTAACTATTCAAAAATATTTCATTGATAAAGCAAGTTAGTTAGGCAGCTTGTTAGTATTTGCACTTTAAAACGTGAACCTATCATAAAGTGAAGAATAGTCTCCGTCATCGTAATGATCTGCCAATTCTTCGATAAAAGCTTGCTCAGTGGTTTAAATTAACCAGGATGGAGTCCATATATTCGTGTCCCTTAACAGTCTAAGTGATGAATGCGTGAGTATCTAAGTCGGTATATGTGCAACATTTCTGTGGATTGCGGTACGTCAGTTTAGAAATCGCCTTTTTTTATCTACACCTCATCCAACTTTTAAAAAAATACAATGTAAATACGATAGGCGGAGGGCAGAGACTGCTGCTAAATACTTGTCTGCTTTGTAGCTAATCTACTGAATCGAGAGTTTACTCTGGAGACTAAACCAGACACCTTGGACGAATTCATATTCATCAAACGGAAGAAGGTTTTGCTAGTGCATCTTAATCAAGGCAAAATTTTTTTTTTTTTCGAATGAAGGATGAGGCAACATTCCTGGAATGGTTTATTTTACCACTAACCTTTTTGGCATTTTGCGTATGATGACTTTTTTTCGAAGCTTTGTCATGTTTTTAAGCTACTTACTAAATCTCTTTTCAGTAACATTTTTATTTTTAAGGTTATAAACTTCAAGGCGTCTACTTGAAGCTATAAATACCAGTGGTGCTGTGGAAAAACCATACGTTTGCTAGGTCAGGTTTCTTATACTTGAAGGTTATAGATCCCAGTTCACCACAATCAATCGTTCTTGTTGAATGGGGAACTTATATCCCACCTGTTCGGCTAATTTATCCGTTTAAATACTGGTTTATTCATTGAAAAGAGAAATAACTTTGATCTTGTTCTGAAAGGTTTCCTTATTATTGTTTATTACTAATAATTCTGATTATTTATCTATTTAGAAAAGACAAATGATCTGTTATATGTTCAAGTTTGCTGCTTTGATCTTGCTTGGGAAATCGATTTGCTTATGATTATTTAATTAGTATGCAATTTTATCCCATAATTTAGGCCAACCCAATCCAAGCCGGGTGATGTACTGGTGTTAACTAAGCCTTTGGGCACTCAGCTGGCAGTGACAGCCTACAATTGGATGAAGGATCAAAGTGACACCTGGAAAGAGAAATGTACCCCTCGAATCACCGAGGAGAAGATGGCGAGTTTGTATAACGCCGCGACACTCTCCATGGCTCGGCTTAATCGTTATGCTGCCAAGTTGATGCACATTCACGGTGCTCGGGCCTGTACAGATGTGACTGGCTTTGGGGCTCTGGGTCATGCTCGTAATCTAGCTGCTGTTCAGACAGCTGAGGTAACCTTCGAGATCGATCGATTACCTTGCCTAGAGGGGGCTTACCAACTGTCCAAAGCACTTGCCGCTAAACATCACCTTGACACTGCACTAACTCCTGAAACATCGGGTTAGTTATTGCTACATTTCTACTGATTTCAAATATGTAGCCATGAAATAATAAAAAGAAGCATTTCTGATACAGGTGGACTTTTGATTGCAATACCAGAAGAGAAAGCTGTGAGGTATATTAAGGATCTTTATGAGTTGGATGGCAATCAGTCGTGGATAGTTGGACGAGTAATTTCCGCGCCTACTCCTGCAGATGCTCGAACCGCACGTCTTTCTACCAACCTGGAGATTATTGAGGTTCCGCATGACTCCGTTGTTTAGACATGAGCTTCTTTTTTTATACGCTTTTCTTACTCTTTCTCCCCGAACACTTCCTCTTCCCCTATCTTCTAAAATCAATTAGATCCAGTGATTGAATCTAAGATAATTTCTTGTAACTGACCAATGACGCTTGTGCAGCAAAGTTGATCTGAATAGATCAATCTGCATTCAGTTGATGTTTCAGACGAGAAATTGTCGAATTTTTATTACTGCATCTGAAAGGTTATCTTTTCCCCTCACATATCTACTAGTTATTGTACTTGGTATTGCATTTCGACGAAAATAAATGTGGTCTTATTTCATCTAACCTTAGAGTTGATGAGTTTTTGGTGCCAAAAGGGCTATCTGTATTAATGGGTGAACTGTTGCACATGAGTATATTATGTATTATCGTGTCCCTTCCACTACCTGTGAATTATCAGTAATTTCGATAACAGAGGAGTAAATAGTTTCACAAAACAAAAAATTAATTCAATAAGGTGATAAGAGGTGGAGGAACTTGATTTGAAGTGGTCAATAATTTCACAATGTCATGAATTATGTTTTCTTTGAATTACATCGGCACAGAGTGGTTCAATTTTTGTTACGTGAAATAAAGATCGCTGTGCAACTTTCCGAGGTTTTCATATAATAGATTGACCTCTAATTGGTTTTACAGGGCTCATATGCATGAAATTCGGAGTTGATTTGACTGGCTGGGCGTGCCGATACCACTACGTCACTTTCATGTTCAAGAAGGCGAAACCACTAACAGGAGCTATAGCATTGCTATGATTACTTAGATCCACTCAAGACTAAAATTAATAATGATAATAGGGGTGTGCGATAGACTTACCTCCACGTGGTTTACCCTAGTCAACGTATTCTCATATGTCAAAAATAGTCTAAAAACAGGCAGTTGACTTCTCACTTCAAGTTTACATGACCCCACTGTATGTCATATTCCACCACTTCTACTGCACTCATCTTACCTTTTCTTTACCTTTGTGGTGTCTGTCTTTTATACATCTTCGAATCACTCTTCTGTTCCCCTATTCACTTTTTCTCACTTTGATGTTCCCCCACCCCCTCTTCTGACACTGAAGATAAGACACAACTTGTGGAACCAATTTTTTACCACTTACCTCAAAATAATGCTATGCCGCCAACAATTGTCCTCTCTTGGCAATACATAGCAGTGTCCAAAACAATTGACACTCTTTATTAAAAAATGGCATTCGGTTTCCTAACATTCAGTTTCATATAACATCTCTTATATGCACCACTCATTCAACGGGTCAGATAGTGTGAGTCATCAACAAGGGTAAAATAAATAACGAAAGAGCTTTTTGACGCAATCTCGTTACCGCTTACTAACAACCATGCTTTAATTCAAATTGGGGATAAACAGTAAGTGAAAGTGCGGCCAATGATGAGGGGTACCGCAGTGCCTAAATTAGAAGTACAATGGTTAGGCGACACAGTAAGAATAGAAAGAAACAAACTTGGAATGCGGCGTGTTCTATATGATAGAATGCGAATTGTAAACTCATTTCAATTTTAAGTTTGAAAATTATATTAAAATATTTACCTACTTGAGGTATTGTAATAAGCAAAGTATTGCTATTTTATTTGAAAGAGTAATGGAAATATGAATCGTCAAGGTAAATTTGAATGACACAAGAGGTCCTCTAAATCAAAAGTTTATATCTTTTTTAGAACAAATTATCTCCAATGGCAATAATAATTGTATTATTTTGGGAAATAAGAAGTTAGTAGAATATTCTGATTTCCCACAGAGCACCTAAATGCCATTATCTACAAATCTAGCTTATTATTTGCACCAAAGCATTAGCCCTGTGTATAATAGCAATGTAATTATACACATGTACAGCCACATATCACCCTATTATGCGGACTCTCCAATTCCTTCAATTTCTTTGAACTTCCTCTCACTTTCTCTCTCTTTTGCTGACGTAGCGTTGACTGTTGAATTTGAGGAGGTTGGGTCAGAAGGAATTCGAGGGGCGGGGGGGGGGGGGGGGGGGGGGGNGGGGGGAGGGGGGGGGGAATAAATTGATTCCTGGTCTCGGAAGGCCTAACTTTAAAGTGTATTTCTGTGGGAAGATTTGATTATCTTATCCAGTAATTTTACATTCGGCAAGGTTCATGTATTGGTGAAACTTACACTCTACCTGACGTTTTTAATTGACAAATACCATCCCCCCTCTCCAGTTATAAACAAATGAAAGGTAGAGTTAATCTCTAAAAAGGATATCTTCATTAATGGGGCTATAGGTATTCCCATAAGAAGTAGCGAACGTCAAGGCTAACCGGATTTAACTATATACCCCAACTCAGAAGAACGAAATCGCGGCAATGCTGTACTGCAATAGGCGATCAAAATGGAGTGAGTGTGAAGGCATGGACTAGTTAACTTCGTAATCTATTTCCAAAGTGAAAAGAGTGCTCTTTAAATATTATGAACGTGAACGTCTTGATAAAATAAATTTTGGAGGAAATTTGAGGATATAAGTAACCCAATGAAATTCCGGAAATTATAACAAAAAGTAGATGAAAGCATTTTTTTCGTAAATTATAGCACTTACCCAAAAAATCTTCCTCATATTTCTATCTTGAAAACCGCAAAGAATCTAAAATTTTTCTAAACAAAAGCGCGTTACAATATGTATATGAAATAACGACGAAAGGAAAAATTTATTCGATTTTATTCCTGTCAAAATAATTTCGAATTCGAGGTAACTTTTGTGTAATTACTACGCCATTAAGGGGTAGATATAATTAGCGCTCGGAATTTCGAGTTAAGGAGTTTAAGTGAAGAATAAAAATATTGAAGACTGCATTTTAAATCTTTTGTTCCATATTTTCTGATCAATCCTCATTGTTAGCGTATCATGCAGAGTAATTCTTAATAAAACAGTGAATGAAAAATGGCTTGAATTTATTTAGTTTTAAATACTGATTGCTTTAAAAACAATATTGTACTGCAACATAGGTTTACGGATTATCTTTCTCCAGAAAAATGTGAAGTAATCCTTATAGAAATTTTCCACTTGACAGTAAAATAAAGCATTTATAAAATTATGCCTTGTTGAATACTCTTTTGTTTACATTCAAAGAAAAACGCATTTGTCATGAGTTTAAAGGTCATATAATATTTAACCAAAATAAATTATTACTTTTTGGCATATTATGTTATAATTATAATAGTTAGTACATTGAAAATTCATTTAAACTGGACACCTATTTGTTATGAGAAATAAATTTTTAAATGCTCTAATTTTTAGGTCGAAGGTAATCAGGCGACTATTTAAAATCTATTATTGTTTATTAATTTTCGTATTTCTTTGACAGTAACCTTATACGATTATCAAAATTTTTTAATTTGCTACCAAAATTCAAAATTTTGATAATATTCCACCTTTTAATGTTTTCATAGGTTGATAGGCGTCTTACATCGACAAGAAATAATGAATTCCATGATATTCAGCATCATCGTCAGTCTGACATCTGTGATATATTGTAAGTTTTCAAGGTTTTTAATGAGTCCCATATTTACTCTTTGAAAAATTCACAATAATTTTAAACGACTCAACTTATGCATTAGCAAGACTTTATAACTTTAAATATTTATAACCCCATCATTCTGTAATAGTTGCGTTTTTTACATTTCCATGTTGTTTCTTACTTTTTCATATGTTTATTTTTAGATACTAATTTCTCTGAATCAATGGATGTGAAATCGTAAGTCATTATGAAATTCCTCATTGAAATTCATACACTCAAAATCTTGCTTCAAAAGGTTAATATGAATAAGTAGGCAAATATGCTCTCCCAACTAAAAAAATCTTAATAGCCTAGTTATTTTTAAGACAGATGAAGTAAGTAACATACTATTTTTCCCGAATGATAATAAATCTTGTCGGGATCCCCTTTACGCCATTCATTAAATAAATTATTTTCTTTAAGCTGAAACAATCTAATTGCTCTAACACCATCATAACTTTAATAACTGATACATTTACACGTGCGCTGTTTAGTAAATAATTTGTGATGGCCAGATCTGCGGAACTACAGCTTCGCTTTTGTAAGCATAAACAAAAGTACAAGATGGCTAACTTGCCATTTTAATCTCTTACTCTCTGAGACATTTCACAGTTTTCTATAATTTTATCCATTAGGCTAAACTTAGAACGTTTTTTATTCCTTAAATAAAGTAAAGGTTATCAATAATGTCAAAATTTCACGATAAACACAGCTCTTTTATTTGCTATCATCTGATATAATATCATTACATGTACTTAGCTGTACGATTTCAAAAAGGTTAAATAGATACTCTGTCATTGTTTGTAATTGAAATGTAACTAAACTCACTAAATCGTAAAGTGTTTTAGAACTTTAAGAAAATGGAGATTAAAATGAAGTATGTAAGGTATTAATTTAACATCTGTCTCATCTCTTCATCAATGTTTAAGCCTGAAGATGATCAAACTCCCTGATTTGAACCTCTGTTTTCTAGCATTCTTCAATCATAATTCAGTGGAATGTAAAATTGACCCAACAATTTTTATCTCTTGTTAGGGAGGGGAAAGTATAGAGGAGGGTACCAGAAACCTAAAGAATTGCTTGAAGAGAATATTCAATAACAGCTTTTTTTGGAAATAGTAGTTAAAGGCCGGACGATAACTTGAAATATGAATGGTCATTGTTCGTAGGTTAAAGAAAATTTGAAGTTGTTAATGGAAATTGCAAATTTTCAGCAGGTTATTACTGTTTAACTCAAATGTCAAATTGTAGGTTGGTTTGTGGTCTGTGGTCGTTAATGGTAAGTTACCGCATGCTATATTAACATTAATCCAAAAGTTGTAGAAAACTAGGCGTCACTTATTATCACGCACGCATTTTAGTAAATTCGTCAGCAGAATTCATGCTCTATATGTTTGGAAGCTAAATACCATAGGAAATGTTCTCATAAGCGTAATTTATTGCAGAAAGTAAAC